CCCTTTGCGTTCCGTTCCGCCCCGCTCCGCCGGGGGGGGAAGCCGGGCCCAGGCCCGGGCCCGGACTGTCCCGTATGCACAGGCCGCAGCCTGGGGGGATCGGGCCCAGGCAGGCTGCGGGGAGGCGCCTGTGGCCCCGCCGTTCCCGGGCCGGCGGAGCGGGTGCCCTGCAGGGGCCGAGCCCGCCGCCTCCTGCTCCCCGTGGTTTTGCAAGGCGGGGGAGAAGCTCTTCACGGCCCCGGGCGGCTGGATTGTGCGTGGAGAGGCGATCCGGCGGGGGATGTGGTTGAGCGTTGGTCCTGCGAAGCTTCCCGCCGAGCGTCACCTGTAAACCGATAAACAGCTCCCGAGGGGGAGAACCGCTCGGTGGGTTTCGGGTTGTGGGGTATGATGATAGCAGATTGAGGCATTCAGGTGGCAGTTGGGGCCGGTCTGGAGACCTCATACACCTTTCCCGTGAAGAAGCGGCCCAGAGCCCTGCCTGGGGCATCCTCACAGCTGCTCGTTTCTGGCACCGGTTGCAATTCCCTCATCTGCATCCCTGGGCTCATTTTCAGTTAACAGTTGCAGACTTGACATCATGTCCGTGACAGAGAGGGTGCCGTGGAACTCGTGGGGAGATCGCGTAATACTTGTAAAACAACCGAGACGTCTAATAAAAAAAAAATTAATTTTTGAGGATATGGAGTCTCATTCCCAAAAGGACCTAAGCTTTAAAGAGCCAAAGTCTTGGTAAAAAAATTAAATAGAATCTGTATTTAGTTCCTAAAGTAATTTTTGAAAATGAAAGGTTGATTTCTATAAGCCTTGGGTGAAGTTAGGCGTTGCAGGAGGTCAGGTTGAAGATCTGACCCAGCCATCATCTCATCCTCCCCTCGTACAAGTTCTGAGGGTGGCTGGATCCTTTGCTAAGCTGACTCAATTTGCTAACCTGAAGGGAAAAAAATTGCTTATTTTGCTGGTTTAACTGTTTGAACTCACCCTGCGCAAGGTCTGATACGTCGAAAGCTGGTGCAAAGCACAGAGGAAGGGGCCTTGCTCTGGAGTCTGAACAGAAAGGGAAGGGAATGGTTAGGACTGCTCTAGCTGTAAAGCGTAATTGCACCCCCAGGCATCTTTAAAATGTTTTCTCTTAAGAGTTTAAGTTCAGGAGATGTAGGCTATAAGTCACTTAAATGCTTTTGAAAATCATTCTCAATATTTTAACATGGAAATCTTCCTCAGAACCATCTTCCTCCCAGGCTTTCATTTCTTTATAGTACTTAAATTCATGCAAAAGTCATCTTAAATCATTATTAGGAAGATAAAATGAAAACACTCACTCTAATTCACCAAGAATATCCTACTTCGAAGCATTTATTTCCACTCTCCTTCTATTTGGGGAGCTGGGGAGAAATTAGGACTTCACATTTCTTACAGTTAATATCCTGTTTTACTCTGAGTTCTCATCACTGAGCATATATCACTTCGCAGTTCCTGTTTGCGTCTCTAGTTCTTGTAACTTCCACAGATTAGGCCTCAAATTTACACCTGCAAAAATAAAATAAACATCATGTAGCAAACACACACAATGGTTACATAGAGGGCTGGAATGGTTGGTTGGTTTTAGGGCAGTTTGGGTCAGAGAGGAAAAGGTTGAGGTAGCCAAGTGTTCTGTGTCAGGGCTGAGATTTAAGGTTTAATGATTTTCATTGCCTTTCACTTGGGCAATAAATTGCACCCCTGGAGAGAGGGGGTAAAACACTACTTTTCTAATTAAGGAGAATGTTATCCACTGGCCTCAATCAGAGCAAACCTCCTTGTGAAACAATAATGATGATTTAGGGCACACAGAATGTCACATACCCGATTGGGTTTAACCACTAAAGCTATTCCTAGAAAGAAAAAAAAAATCTTAGAATTTTTAGTGGACACAAGTATCCAAATGTCAGAGTTGTATGTCAGCCTAAAATGGCTCCACAGGCTTTGGATCTCGTTACTGAAGGTTCGGGTCTGGAAAGTGCTGATTCTTCAGAAGCTGGCTTCACAAAATACTGAAGGATCCAGAGAGCATCTGGGCAAGGGATTACAGCAAAGAGGTTACAGCCCTTCCAGGGAGCTCTCAGCACCTTCCCCGCTCAGCTCCCGCAATTTAGTTCATGAAAGCCCAGGTACCAATGTTACAGGATCACGTGGAGGGTTGCAGGAGAAGACTCCTCTCTTGTCACAGGGCTCCAAGGTCAAGCAGTGTTGTGGGGCAGAGTGATTCCTGAAGGATCTCTAACTTTTTGCTAATTGCTAAGATGGGCAGTTGCTCGGTATCTATTGCTACTTCCCTGCAGTTATAAAGTAAACACTGCACCTACAGGTCCATTTTCAGGGTGATGCAAGGGGCATTTAACCACGAGACTCCCATTAATGTTAATTATAGAGCACATATTAACAGCATTATACGATCCTTTTTCCTATTAGCACTATCATAAATCTGATTGGTGGGGCTTAATTAGATCTCAGCAGCAGAATGCGATAGTTTGATACACGAAAGGGCAAATTTTTGGAGACAGCAAACTATTATTATACTTTAATCTCAAAATCTCTCCTTCTTTTACTCATAACACCAACAAGGCTTCTTGTAAGATTGATTTGTTGTCAGAAAATGATTTAAAGACCGACTGTAAAAATATTATATTTTCCTTGCTTCATAGAATGTGGCATTGATGTTAGAGCTCCACAGAGACTTGATGTACTTTCAGATAGGGAACTCTAAAAGCCAAGTGCAAAATAAATAAGATGGCATCCTGCTGTTATTGTGGTAACCTTTACAGATCATTTCAGAACTGTGACTGTTGTGTAGTTTAGTAATACACCATGGGGGAAGCTGGAGCTTTGTGCAATTCTACCCTGGTCAGCTGAAGCCCAACTGTATTTGCTTTTTGGGGGCCCAGTATGTAACAGAAGAAATGATATCAAAAGTGAAGGACACAAGGACATATCAGAAACACAGAAATAACAGATAAGAAGAACTAAGAAAGTATTAAAGGCCAAGCCAGACTGTAATGATAGAAAGTTGATTGGCTGCTTAAGGCATCTAGACTGAGAAAAAGGTCTCTGCTCAACTGGATGTAACCCAGTTACATCCCAGGTGAGATCTCCTTGAGTCAAGGCTTGTCCCAGCTTCAGTGGCTGAGAAACTCCCGGTGATCCTGATGAACAGTTAAGTAGTTCCTTGAGTCACTTGTAATGGCATGGGTTTGGGGGTTTCTGTGATTTTCTGCAAATCAGCATTTGTGATGCACAAGCTTTGTATCAATGCAAAGTTGGAGCATAGATGTATTTTGGTCTTAAAGAAACCCCGCAACCAGGAGCAAAATGTACTGGTACCAACCGAGAGCCTGAAACATGCCAATTCCATGCTAGTAAAGACTTGCCCTCAGCAAATAATTCCCAAGTGGAAAGTAGCAGGTTAAAAAACAAACAAACAAACCAAAACACATCAAAACCCCCAATTCGTTCCCACCATCCCGATTCCAGTGTTTTGGAGTAGTTAAAGTTTCCAAGACCAAGTGAAGTAGGAGTCCTGGTAGCTCAGGGCTCAGTAGCTTTTCTGAAGCGGTGTGCCAGACTGATTTCTTTCCCAAAGTAGAGTGCAAATATACCATAGGAAATCAGCAGAAGCTAGAAACTGCTGCCTCTTCCCAGCTGTCAAAGGTGGCCTTGTGCTGACCCTGTGGTATGCCATTTTTTGGCAAGCCCTGTGTTGCTCGCTCACCACCTGCAATGGACTACAAGCTATAATAGCTTGCTTCAAGAAAAAACTTCCAGTCTTTCCTTAGGTAGAGCATTGCCGAGCGTCTGGTGTAAATTCAGGGGTGATCAGATTTGGAGTTGACGTCAAATCTGGTGCAAACATGTAGGCAATGGGAAGCAAACACCAAGATGACTGGGGATGAACCCTACCGAGGGCAGCGTGGGAGGAATCACCCCTAATAAATGGCAAGACCTGCCTTAAGGCAGCAGCAACCAGCCACCCAGATTCAAAAAGGAGCTACATAACCCACTGCAATCCCCCATCACATCAGCCTTCCCTTTTTAACTCACCCTGACATTGCTGTTTCTGACAGGTAGTGATACCTATTATCCCTTAAAGTTCTCAGCCAGAGTCAACAATAGCTATTTCCAGCAGCCCTTTGCCCTGAAAACAACATTTTGAAGAAAAGGACCTGTGTCCTGTGCTCTTTCAGCTGAGAATTGCTGCCTGAATATCTCCAGAGCCTCTTTGTATTTTTTTTTTTCATACCTCCTTTCAGAGGTCTTTCTTTTCCTGGAAAATCTATGTGAAATTCCCAAGCTGCCTAGGACTCAAAAGATCTAATAAAAATAAGATTTATTAAGGGCAGAGGCAGGAAATCAGATTAAAACTGAAGAAACAGCTTGCATAACTGATCTCCTATACTCAGCAACTGCTCAGGAAGTGCTCGGTACACACACATTAACTGTTTTGTGGAAGTGCTTTTCAGCCTGATAGCCAGAAAAGGCAGGCAGCAGTCTGCAGAGTGTGTCTTTTCTGCAGATATGGCCATTAGTTGCACGAAGCCCACCAATGCTCATGCTCACAGCTTCTCAGCACCAGATGCAAAGTTGTGTTTTGCTAACCCGCTATTAACTCATTTTGCCTACCTCTCGGGAGAGGGAGACCTCCCCCAGCGCTGGCAGAGGCTCCCCAGGCAACACTGCTCAGAGGGGCTTGAGGCACCAAGACTCTCCAAGCTCCACAGCCCAGTATGCCCCACCACAGCCAGTATCTCTCTGCTTTTGCCCACCACCAGCTCTCAGTGGGAGTGATATGTGTGTTCTATGAGACTTATAGGATGGCTCTTTTTGCCTCTCCTCCCTCTGCCCCATCACTCTTCTTTGCTCACCTTAAGGCCATGATTTGCTATC